TATCTGCCTAAAGTCTGAACCTATTAAGGAAGAAAACAATTACCTCTGGTCCCTTCCCTGAGTTTTGAATAATTGAACCCATGTTATAGGGAGGAAGAATAAATAACAACAAACCCGGACAGACTTTTGTCACAAACTCTTGCCTGCTCTGTGGGCCCAAAAGACTTTGACCCAGACCATCGTATCTTCTTCAAGCCCATTGAACTCCTCTAAAAATCATTCACTCTCCTCCTAAAATCATGCAAACTTCCCCATTTCCCTTTACCCTAAGAAGTGTAACCATTATCAGTTCATTGGCTGATGCACGCAGCAAGTCAATGCACTGAGACACGGGGCTGCAGCAGAGATAGAGGCTTAACTGTAGGGCCGTCAAATGGGGAGACAAGAGGAAAGCTGAAATCTATCTCCTGGAGGAGTTTGGGGACAGGGGTTTTAAGGGTTTTGGAGGGGGCTGGAGTATGGAGATCATTGACTGGTCAAACAGTGCAGGGTGGAGTCACGGGACAGGGAGATGAAGAAATTCCCTGCTCGTGCTGATTCTGCTTCTCTGTAGGGTCTTCCAGCTGTTCCGCTGGAATTCAGGGCCTGGAAAACATCTTAAACAGTTCTTAATCAAAAGGATTGCTCAAGGTCAGGAGTTCGAGACCAGCCTGAGCAAGAGTGAGACCATGTTTCTACTAAAAATAGAAAGAAATTAACTGGCCAACTAAAAATATATAGAAATAATTAGCCAAGCATGGCGGTGCATGCCTGTAGTCCCAGCTACTGGGGAGGCTGAGGCAGGAGGATCGCTTGAGCCCAGGAGTTTGAGGTTGCTGTGAGCTAGGCTGACGCTATGGCACTCTAGCCCAAGTAATAGAGTGAGACTCTGTCTCAAACAAACAAACAAAAAGAACAGTGGGGATGCAAATTCATTCTTAAACAGAAGGCTTATGATTCCCAAATCTGAAATCCTGCCTATAGGAACAAAGAGGTTGCAAATGGTCAGTACCTAGTGCTACGTGACTTTTAGTGACAATGCCAAAGGGCCAACTTATTAATGATTAATTATAACTATATTTCTGTTGAGAGTTCTCATTAACCCAGTAAGGCTAGCTTCATAAGTAGGGTATATATGCATTTGTAACCCATTGAGATATTGGATAATCACTTTGAAATTCTCCCCATACACACAGTTAAATCAATTTGTATGCCTTTTCTCTCATTAATCTGCTTTTTCGTGAGTTGATTTTTCAGCAAACCTTCAGTTTTGGTTTCAGCAAACCAACAGCCTTGGCCCCTGTACTAACAATCTGAATGTTTTCTAGAGGATGATTCCTTAAATAAATTGCGATACATCTGTAAAAAAAAAAAAAAAAAGTGATACAATGTATTCATAAATAGATTATTAGGGCTCTTACAACTCTTTCTCCAAGACGTACTAAGTGAAAAACATACATAACTACCTTAGGGAAGGAAAGAGAGTGAAAACTCAAAGAAGGGCCAGAAGGTTCATGTTTAAATACCCTCTTCACTGGAAAGAAGGGGGGTGGGGTGCGTAAATAAATGGTCCTGAAGAACAGAAAATACTTTGTAAATGATTGAAGGAGAAAGAATCGCTTTTGGGCAAGTTAGTTATGGAAAGGTGAGAGGTAGAACTGTATTACAAACGAAGATATTACCTTATTGTGCAGATGCAGTCTTCCAGATAATCTGGAAAGGTCTGTCGGGCATGGTGACAACTGCCTGTCCCTTCTAACCTTTCCTGGTCATTAGATGAGATTCCTAGGGAGGGGGTCTTAAGATAATTGTGTTTCTTTTGGAAAAAACTTTTCTTCGTCAGATAAGGATATCCCAGAGAATTCCTTCCTTGTGCTTCTAAGGAATAAAAGGAGGAGCATTGAAATGAGACTGGATGAGAGTGGGGAAATCAGACACCTTGAGGCCACTTCTTTAGTTCAGCATGTCAAAGTGCCATATTTTGGGGTATAATTTTCTGAGCCCCAACAGTACTATGTACACACATATATATACACCATGTATATATATGTATATGTGTGTATATATATATATATGTTTTGCTATATATGCTACCTTTTGTGTAAAAATGCAAAAGAAGTATTTGCTTATTTTGTGCATAAAATATTTGAAATGTATTTAAGAAACTGGAAGCATAGGTTATCTCCAAGGAGACTTGTGGGATGGTTAGTCTTTTGGGAAAAACACTCCTCAGATCGTTCTTTCCTTTAAACTCCACAATAATCAACACAGAATAGGACTTCTGTGTGGAAGTGGAGTTTTCAAATGTGGAGTTTTCACCTGCATACCAAGCAGCAGACATCTGCCTGGTGTCCTCTAATTTAACTCTGACACTATCTACCTGGAAACAATGTCAGATCCCACAAGGTGAGAACTCTGTCCCCAAGATGCCCCGCCCCCTCCCCCCCAGACACCAGTCACAAGCCCAGGCCTCCAGAGCTTCTGACGCACCAGCTTCAAGTTGGGGTTCCCGTTGTTAGGTAGATTCTATCTCCTGAGATCTTCTCCTGAGGCCTAAAGTGCCCCAACCTTGTAACAAGGACTATGGGAGTTATGAAGCTCCATAGGAACCGTGGATGAAAACCGATATCACAATTAGCAGAAAGGACTGGAAAAAATTCAGGATTTCAAGATGGCAATAGAAGAACTTTAAACCAAGGGTGGGGCCTTTCTGAGCATGGAGACCTGGGCAAGTGCAGAGGTCACATACCCTCAAAGCTGGCCCTAGTCAACACTCCACTGTCCTTTAAGGCAAACAAGGCCCCAGTTCCCATGGAGCTGAGCTTCTAATCCGTCAAAGAGGGTGGGGCAGTGATACACGATAAATAAATAAACAGGACATCAGTATGAGCCAGGAACAAAATATTGGCACTGTATGAATCAGAGTACCAAGAGGTTCTGCCATGAGGACACCTACTTTATTTTGTTTAACTGAGTGTTTTCCTAATTTATTGATTATAGACTCTTTTAATTGAATTTAATTTAGTATTTTTTTTATTTTTTAGCCTTATACTCTCGCTATCCTATGGAACTAGAGCCCTGGCAAATTCATTGGGTAACTGTGATCTGAATGAATCCCTTTATTCTAAAGATGAGGAACATGAGGCCCAGACAGGGAGAGGGGCTTGGTCAGTGTCACATCCGACTGGAGGGAACCGAGACCAGATCCCAGGTCCCTGCCTTAGTCCCCCCTCCGCTGTTCTCTCTAATATGCCGGGTGTAACGGAAGCATCGCTAACTTATTCCATATTCATTCACATATGTCTGTAGTCAGAGAGACTTCATAAAGAACCAGGTTGTGTTGGCTTGTGCTTTGCAGGTAATACAGGTTTTATTTTTTATCGTTCGATCATTGCAAAAATATTCCTTTCATCATCCGGCATCATCTTTTCCTTTTAAAGCTTCTTTTTCCTTCTCCTTTCCTTTGTCTTGTTTTCAATTCTAAGCCACGTGTGTACCGGTGTTTTCTGAAATGCAAGTCAATGTTACACTTGATACCATCTTAAGAACTAAAGGATTTGCTTCCCCCCAAAAATAGGCTCCATTAAACAATGAATGTATCTGTTAAGGAGGAGTGCAATCTTCGCATCCGAAACTAGTGCTTTGTCTTGTTTTGTGTGTGTGTATTGGGGTGGAGAGCAGAAATACAGGCAAGTGTTTACGGAATGCTAAATTCGTTCACTGTTAAAAGGACGCACATGGAAATTGTGCCATAGGCTCTTTGGATTGTTCAGATAGTGACATTTTTTAAAACATTTGTCTTCTCTTATATTTTGCCTTAGAGTAAAATCTCTTCACAGCCCTTTGCTTCTCATTAAAAGGGTGGACTTTAGGCTCTTCTTATTACATTTAGATCAACGTTTTGACTGAAACAGTGATTTTTCTTGATTTTATTTCATGAATTTTCTTGCTTGTATTGACCGATGCAACCGACTGTTTTGGATTCATGTGAACCGAGGGTCAAAATGCTGATGCAGCTGAAGAATCGTAGAAATTAATTCCGAAAATGGTGGCGAAAGGAGTAAGAACCTAAGCCGGAATTCGTGCATGGTAGGCTAAAACTGATCAATTTCCTGGTCCCTAATTAAAACAAGCCACCAAACACAACAGCAGCAGAAAATCCAGGGCTTTTTCTGGTGATGAATGCGACCAGCCTGCAAATTTCTCCTTGCTGGGAAGAGAGATTTCATGAGCAACAGCAGTTAAACAGAACGCATCCTGGCAATTTATGTTTGGTAATATGTATATATCTACTCACTGCTCGCACCCTGCCCCTAGCCTACCTCCATCCCAAGCATAGACTCGTGGTGAAATTAAACCAATAAAACTAAAGAGGAAGTTTCCTTTTTTCAAGTGTGTTTTTGAAGGCGCCCATTCCTGGGTATTGAAAGAGTAAACAAATATGGCAGGACATCTAATCTTTTCTGTTGCCTGAGTTGTGAAAATCCATATGCGAGCCATCTGCTTTTAAATTGAATCCTAGCATTCCATCAATTAGCACTGTAGTTTCAGATATAATGTAGGTTAACTTCTGATTGATCTTCAATTAGCACTAGTTCTTAACCATTTACTTTATTTCCAACTCATTTTCCTCTCCCAAATATACAGGGAAGTTGCAGGATGACTTTTCTGATTTTGAAATGCTGGTAGCTCTTTAGGATTAAAGAATCCACATTCTTCCCACCCTCCCTTTATCTCTGAGTTAATAAGAACTCAGGTAATGCAAAGTCAGTATAATTTTATATTCCAAAAGAGCATCAGGGAAATTTCTAAGAAGATTTCATCAAGTGCAAATATGGCTTTTTATTTTATTTTATTTTTTTCTTAGCTTTTCCTATTTAGAATTTAGAGTTTGGAATTTTCACAAACTAAGTCACAAAATCACTCCAGGAATCCCAAATATGGCACTCATAAAGCTTAAGGAATTCGGAGATCATTTGTCTCCTTTCCTAGGACACAGGTTTTTCAGAGTTTAAAGAGGTCTCAGAAGTCCTCTAGCCTATACCCACCCAGGGCAGGCAAGCCCACCAGAGCATCAGTGCCGGATGGTCAGTGATGTTTCCGATTTGCCTCCATCGGACAATAGAACAGAACCTCCCTGGTGAGGTTGTTAGAGTGAAATTCTGGCAGCTGAATAATGTTTGCCAATTGTTATATATATATATATATAATGCAGATACTTCTTTTGTAATCTAGAATATTGTGCAATGTTATTCATAACTTCTGTATGGTTTATGATACTGTATCATTGTGATAGATTATTCAGTTTTCCTTTTATAAATTTGATTCAAAAAAGATTTGTTATATCCTTAAACCTGTAATTTCATCATATATGAGGATTTTTTTTTTCCAGAAAAAAATATAACTGGTTTTACAATGGTTATCATTACTGAAATAGATTCACTTAATCATTTCTAGTATGGTCAGCTTACTAGAAACTTTCTGTATCATTAAGCAAGGGATAGTTTTTTTAATGAAAACATATATGACTTTTCCTCCTTATTATCTTCTTTTTTATTATTATTATATGCATCACTGCTTCTTTTATTAGTGAGCTTATGTTGAAAGTAGAATAAGAGTCACTGTACTAGTTAGATCAAGTAATGCTTGCTGCTGTAATAAACAAGTTCAAAATCTCTGTGGCTTATATACCATAAAAGTTGATTTCTCATTCATGTCGCAAACCAAAGTACACATTTCTCCTCCCTGGGTGGTGTCGCATATTATGATTTCATCGTTTTCCCGGGACTTCAGAACTTCTTCATTCAGCTAGCCTTTGAGAAAGAAAAAAAAGAATGGAAGATCAATTGAGAGAGTTTTTATGAGCCTAAAAGTGGCAATCATTTTTCTTCATTCAGTGCATGGGTTAGAGCTCAGTTACTGGTCAGAGCTAACTGCAGGGCTGGCTGGGACATGGTCTGGTCGTAGGCTTAGGGAGAAGAAACATGGCTGGCGAGCCATGACCAGTTTCTGCCACTGTTACCGTTAGCATCTAGTTTGCCTCTATACCCTGGAGACCTAGATGTCCAGAATAGTCTCTAGAATTTCTATTGTATGTATGAACCTCACTGAAAAATACATTAAGAGAAATAACACAACTCTTGCTAAGTGCCCTGAATTCTTGGGCTTATGCACTGACACACAGGGTACCAAGGACCCCCCTCTGCAATGACCCCTGAGGGAGCTCTCTCTGGACGTAGGAGTCCAACAAAGAAAAAACGCTGGAGGTTGGGTTTCCGGTAGCGCTAAGCCGCCTTTCCTTTCCCCCATAGATGCCACTAGAGGGCGCATCAGGCGTAGCGCGAAGGAAACTGTCCCCCCACAAGCACAGTGACAACTCATGTTGTGAGCTCATGTTTGAGTAGCTCATGTTTGACAGCTCATGTTGTGAGAAGCTCATGTTGTGAGCTCATGTTTGAGTAGCTCATGTTTGACAGCTCATGTTGTGAGTAGGAGGACCAAAGATGGGAGTCAGGTGAAGCTTTCCATTCTTGGCAAGACCAGCCCTACTGAAAAGAGGGGTTAAAGGCTTTCTCCTAAAAGAAGTCTTGAAGTCTCATAAACCTGGGCTGGAGGCCCCACCCAACCTCCACCATATATTGGAGAACGTGGCCTCCAAAAATTGGGCCTCAAAGTGAGGGGTTATTTTAATTGGGTAGGTTTCTAACATTTCGCAATCAGAGTCTATTTTAGACCCTTGGCTACTTTGCAAAACTATGGAAACATCTTCTTTTCTGACTGTTAATTTTCCATTCTCCATGTATGTAAGGGGCTATACATAATCTGAATAGCAATTGATACTCTTTGAAATTAGATGTGACTCATAGGCCAAATTCCTTCTCTTCAAGTCAAATCAGTGGATTTGCTGTCTGCCTTGTCCTACCATTCGGTGGGTAGATGGGTTATGATGTCATGTTTTCTGGGCTAAAAATGGGTGATTCTTACTTTACTCATTTTTTTGTTTTTAACTTTATTTTTTATTGTGGTAGAATATACATGACTTATCTGTCATTTTAAACATTTGTAAGGGTACAATGCACGGGCATCAAATACCTTAAAAACACTGTGTAACCATCACTACCATCTTTACAGGATTGCAATTCTTGCACTATCATTCTTAAAACTTGGAGCTAATGAGTTAGTTACAGTTAAGTCATTTATGTGCCCATTACAGGACTGTGCACCAGTTGCCAGGTGTAGTGAATGTCACCATTACTTGGGCTATGGGGACTCTCTGTCTGCACCCTGCCCATGGAAATCCTGGTCTTCTGAGACCAGAGAATCTCAGCATCTGGTCTCTGCTATTCCATTACTCTGCTGAGTAATTTTGACCACTATCATTCTATGTGAGAACAATACATTCACTTTTGACTATTGATATCTAACTTGTGGATGGTCATATTTTAATTTTTTCAATAACTTCCAGTTATGGTCAAGAATATTTTTCTGGGCTATGGAAAATTTATCCCACTTCCTCTACAACCTACTCACTATTCCCTCATTGGGACTATAAGTTAGTGTATGTTTAAGCCAAAGTGAAGCAGACTTGAGGAGAACATTCTGCTAAAATAAGATACAATATTGCACTGTCTGACTTATATTTGGAGTGTATTGATAAGGGTCCCCCGGAGAGATTTTCCTTTTGGTGAGACCTGGGCCTTGAAATTACCCTTTTTCCAATTAGACACCGGCTTCTGTACCTTAAATAAGTTAAAGCTTGTAGATTTTAACCTACAACAATAGGAACAATAATAATAGTAGGCACCATTTAATGAGTTCTTACTCAAGCAGTATTCTAAGCGCTTAGCTAGATAATCTCATTTAATCATCATAGTAACCTTAAGAAGAAGGTACTATTCTGATCAATATTTTAAATGAGGGAATTGAGGCACAAAGTGATTAAACTGTACTAGTGTTGTTATTTGAATTTAGGTGCAAATGCTATGCTTGATATGGAAAGATGTGGCTGACTTTAGGGAAAGAACAGTGCATACTTGGCATGGATTCTCAGCACCTGAATATCTACCCATATCTCCTAAGGGCCACCATCACTTCCAGGCAGCCATTTTTCTCTGGGGCATCCTAATATACCTGTCCATGCTGGAACTATCTAACAGAACTGTTGATGTTCCCTGTCCAGAAAAGGGTTCAGTATTTTTTCAGAATTCACAGGCTTCCAGGACAATATCTGCTCATCTCCACTCTTAGCATGGTCCATGCATTGTTTGGTGCTGGGAGAGCTATAACGTTGGACCAGGGATGCTGCTCTTCCCTCCCCATGGGGAATAGGAGATTAGGGGTGGCACTGAGGCTTGCTTTTGTTTTACTTATATCTCGTGAATCTATGTGAGCTTCTGTGTAAATGTATGTGAGCCTCCTATGAAATGGTCCCTTTGGTTAAAGAAAAATCCCGCCACTTAGGTCTTCCCTTAATGTTAAGGTGTTAGCCTTGAACAGGAAAAGCAAAGCAAAGCGCCACTTATTCGATGAGCCCAGATCATTGAAATGTCACCAAGAATAAATAAGCAAGAAGAGGAGACTCTCAGTCTGAAAAGAGATGCCACTAACTGAATTCAATAGTTAGAAAGAAGAACTTAATCAGGCAAAGCACCAATTCCTTTGGAGTCCTTAAGACTACAAGAGAAGGCCTTGGAGTCATAAGAATATGCTGTTTCCTTGGCATGGGCAGTTAAGAGTTGGCTCTGCCTACTTCTCTAGGATGACAAGGATGAAGGGAAGAGGGCTATGGCTATACTATTAAAACCATACTGGTTTTCCATATTCATTTACCAAAACCAATGCCTTTAACACTGTGTTTAAAATTATCTATTTGTCCTTTAGCTCCTCTGCTTTGGAGGAGCTCCTCAGCTTCCTCTGCTTTCCTCCCAACCAATGATTCAGATACAACACTAAATCTCTTTTTTCTCTTTTTTTTTTCTTGCCCGTGAATGGAGACCTCCACTTTTCCTTTCTATCTGGCCAATACATATTTTCCTCCTTACAGGAGAGTATCTATATGTCCACTTCTCAGTTTGACTTGAAACAGTTTACCTAGTTCCTGTTTTTCAAGAGGCAGCCAGAGATTGAGTAAGAAACTAATTCACTGGAGTTTTAGCCTTGAAATTTGCAGGGACTTGGGTTAGGAAATCGAGATTTAAATATTCCCCAGTGAGTGCCTTTAAATGGAATAATTACTCTGATTGTCTGCTACTTGGAGGACATCACAAGCCAATCAGGTGGGGTTGCTACTGGGAGAAGTTCTCCTAGGCCTTTTACAAAGCAGGTGCCAGTCTTTGGTCTCAGACATAAAGGAACATGAGACAAAGAAGGCTGAGAAGCGATTCACCCCCCCACTGTGCCTATCACAGTGCCTGAGCCACAATGGACTACAGGAAATTTTGAGTGAGCAAAGGTATGAAAACAAAAGAAAAGGGAAATCACATAGGAGGGGGAAGGCAGAAAGGACAGTTTTTCCATTTGAAGACACTGTGCAATGTTTGAGGGGGAAACTGTTCAGCGCGTTTTGATTTCCGGGGAGATGAAACACCTTAAATTGGACAAGAGAGGAGGGGCCCCAGGAACGCGCAGTTAACCTCTGAGTCCGCAAAGGACTCTGCCAGGCTGTGTGAGGGTAAGAAGTGCAGAAGTTGCGTCTCCTTCAAATTCCATTAGTGAAGAATGAGAGCATTTTCACAGCCAGATTTTTAAGAAAGTAAATGGCAAGAAACAGGATTTTTCTTTCCCACCCCCATGGGGGCTGCAAGAGGGGCCCTGAGCTGATCTGTTCAGAATAACGGTGTGAGAGCAATAACGAGCCCTCTCTCTAAGGACTGATTTGTCTGCAGAAAGGGGGAAGTCGTCAGGTATCCATTGTGAGGAGACTGCCTTCTCTTAACAATGGCTCTGATGAAACTGCTAGAAGGTTCTTATCAGAAAGAAAAGCCTCCCAGCAGCAGGAGAAAGGGAGAGGGGGGAAAAATAATAGGCTACAAAACCCCAAATCATCCTCTAAGGCACGCTTCCTGAATGCCAAGTGACGCTGGCCGGT